CTAAGCATCAGCTTTTCACTCGCTTACTGTGGGTGCAAATGCCAGCCAACGCTCCACAAAGCCAAACACTGGAGCAGCACGCCTGTGGCTTTGAGAAATGCAGGTGTGTTGCCCAGGCCTTTTGAGAGATGTTTTCTTTCAACATGGTCCCTCCCAAAAACAGCACATCAGTTGTGGGTAAATATCGTGCTGCTTCCAGTGTATGCCAGCACTTCAAAGCACCGAAAGCTTCCTGAGAAGAAACTCAGGAGAGCCAGAGGTTAAATCCAGTTGAGCTGCCGTCTACTTTAATGACTTTCCTTTCCCATAAAGTTGCTTCTGCACTTCAAGCATGAGGAAATTGCTGAAGTCTTAACCTAAATAAACCATAACATTTTCAGTCGTCACTGAGGATGTCTTGTTTGGGTTCTTCACAACTCTTTCTGGTTGACTTGTAGTGGGAATTTTGAGAGTGGCCCCAGGGTCACTGGTGGTCATTGTGATGTTGCAAATCCGAACTCAATAAAGACTTAATCCGGCCAATCAAATGAATGGTTTTTGTCACCTGAAGGTGATTATGGGATCAGGTTAGCTAAGTTTGAACCCCAGACAGGAGGAAGAATAAGGAAGTGTCTACTCAGGCAGAACCACAGACACCCGCTGGGGTTCTAATTCACTTGCCAGGGGCTGAATTCATTCCATCATCTGTTAATTAAGGCTTGGAGAGAAACCAACGGATGATTTCTAGACGAGTTTTTCAAAATTTTTGATGTTAAGGAATGTTCCCCCTTTCCTAAAATAATAAGGCAGTTATATATTTGCTTGTATAAAATCAAGCTATACCGTGTGAGTATATCAATATTAAAAGTGGTATTGTACAGATAACACAAGTAATTGTTTGCATAATTGTCATTGTACTAAATCTAACAGTTAATTTTAAAATGTTTTTCTAAATAGTTTTTGCATAAAATTGTATGCAGATTTATTTTCCCCCTTACTTTTAAAAACTAGTGCTGACAGTAGTTATTGCAATTAATCTCATGATTTCTGACCAGTCTTTAGAAATAATATTATCAATATAAAATGTAATTTTATCAGATGTTGAATTAAAAGGTTTTAAAAAATAATTTAAAAAACCCTGTTCTAGATTTATTTCTCCATGTGTGTTTCCACATTTGCAGAGAGTTGAAGCATGTTATGATCCACCTCTTATCAAATTAACTATTTTTTATAAATTTTTTATAATAACATTTCTTTTATTAGAATCATTAGCCTACTATCTTCTTTATGTTGTGTTTGCTATTCAAAAGCCTCCTAGTTAATATTCTCTGCCAACTCCTGCATCATTAGACTGTTCCTGCTGAGTTAATAGAGCCTTAAATGGATAGTTCACCCAAAAATGAAAATTCTGTCATTAATTACTCACCTTCATGTCGTTCCAAAGCCAAATTAAGATATTTTTGATGAAGTCCGAGCTTTCTGACTCCGCATAGACTGCAACGTAACTACCACGTTCAAGGCCCAGAAAGATAGTAAGGACATCGTTAAAATAGTCCATTGAATAGTCCAAATTCACCCTTAAATTTATGAAGCTACGAGAACTTTTTGTGCACAAAGAAAACAAAAAATAACGACATTATTCAACAATTTCTTCTCTTCCGTGTCCGTTTCTGATGCATGTTTACGAGAGTACCATGGCACATGCGTGTGGTGCTGCAGAAAGCTCTTGGATTTCATCGAAAATATATTAATTTGTGTTCCGAAGATGAACAAAAGTTTTACGGGTTTGGAATGACATGAGGGTGAGTAATTAATGACAGGGTTTTTGGGTGAACTATCCCTTTAAAGCTCTTCAATCTCTCTGTCTCTCTCTCTCTTGCTACTTAAAGAATGGCTATCTTACATTGGCATTTTTTAAGGTAAATCAGTGTCTGCCTTATTTTCTAGTCAATGTATATAATAATTCTGAAATTCTTTCTTTCTTTCTTTCTTTCTTTCTTTCTTTCTCAATTGATTCAAAGGTCAATATGTGCTGTGTTTCCATCATCCCTAAGGCTCGTCTTGTCAGCTGTGGGCTTGTGATCGTATCACATGTACCTGTATGTATGTGTGTGTGTTTTTAAAATCAGACCACTGTTATTCACGGTGTCCTAAAGAGCAGGTGCTTGTGGTTTTTACTTGTATCTGATGACCTGATTCCTGGTGTAGATGAGGTCTGTCTGCCTAAGCGGCTAGTGAAACTCAATCTCAGAAAGTTCTTCATTAATGTCCAATGAGTCACAGTAGTGACCTACAGTCTCAAAAGTGCATAGCGGGCGTCTGTACAGCATGGAAATGGAATGAAGCTTCGTCACAGCCTTAACATCAGTCATCATGGATGACCAGCCCAGTCTGTATCTCTCACTCTTTCCTTTGCTGTGTTTCTCTTTCTTTAACAAAGGTAATAATTATTCACAGTATTAGCAGAGTGTTTGGATTACAATATCAGTTGTAGCGAATCAGCTCATGGGGAAATATGAATAATTAATCATAACTAGTTATAATTAATTATAGATATTTAGATCCGCTGTAGATATTTACTTGACCTCTCAGGGTCAACTGTCTGTCAATTCTAAGAATGTTAATTTCCTGGTTAAGGGAAAAAAGAACCAGTTTGAGTCAGAGAATCTTGGTGAATGGAAAAGTCAAGGCCGAAGCCTGGCACGAACTTAGGGTGTCCTGGAGCATTTGCTCACATCTTCATCTTCTCAGAATTCAACCAAACCACCGACTAGGGCGGGTCACTGATGTGAGGCCTTTAAGGTCCGAGAAGATTCACGCCTCTCAAGATGGGCTTGTCCAATGAGAAAGGCTGAAATCCCAAGTGGGAGGTTGCCATTACTGAAGGGTTTTATGACCCTTTGTGTGAGGGCATGGTAATCTGCAAATGGAACTCGAGTGGGGGCGTGATGAAAGATTACTAAATGTTCTTAGAACACTAATATGTTGCATAGGTATAAACATATAATATACACTCTCAATTAGATAATCCGAATACGAATTCATAGAGACCAAACATGGTATATGTAAGGTTACATGAATGAGTGGTTATATCATAAGCATGCATAAAATAGTCTACAATGCAACAGACAATATACAAGACAGCAATAATATACACAATGACCTGAAGGATATGTGTGTTCATTCACAGAAAGGTTTCTGGACTATAGAAGAGTCTTTAAGAATAGTCTTTCCTATGGAAAATGTAGTGAGAGAGAGGACTCTCAACATGCCATTAGGTCGTAAAATCTATCTGGTCTAGCAAAGGTGTCAGGTTTGCCATGGTAACCAGGGTCCTGGGCCTCGTTTACAGACATCTTGGCACCCAGTATGTTTATTGGGTGAGGGGTCTGTGAATGTTTGTTAATCTAATGAATAATTGATTTGTTAAATCAAATGAAAAATGGTGTGTCTGATTGGTCCAGACGCTACACAGTGGTGATATGGTACATTATTAAACACGTATGTATTAGGTTTTGTTTAGTTTGGATAGGTGTTTATTTTGTGTTGGGGAAGTTTGTTTAGTGAAGTAGATTTAATAAAATGTTTAGTTTTGGTGTATCTTAGGGTTTGTTTTCACTGGAAATGATTTTAGTTGAAGATATTTGATATCCAAGGCGGAAGCAACCCAAGCTCAATAGAACAATGTGACCGTGTCGATATTTCTTTAAAATTTAAATATGTTAAAGTGAAATGGTTGGTAGGTGGTTGGTTATTGCTGTGTTGTGTTTGAAAAAATTGTACCACCTAGCTACACTAACATGCGTTCTACCTGGCTTGTACAAGTCCTTTAACTGTTTTATCAAGATTTGTGTTTCACTGGACTCGTACTAGAGTGATATAGGTGAGCTACCGAGCAAGTTTACTATTTCAGAAGGGCCATACACATGGCTATGTGATGCAAACATTAAAATTAGTTTGCAAATGCACTATGGCAAAAGCGTTTTGAGGTCATAACATAGTTCTGCAAGGAACTGCGTGAGACTAATTAATTTACATTCTTCCCCTGTAATCATAATTTGTGTGAGGAGGAGTAAAAGTTGTTGGTATTTAATTTTAGCCGGTATTGTATGTATAGGTGCTTTTTTGTAAAAATGTATTTAGAGGCATGTTTTTTCCAGTCAGCCTAGGTCTCCATTCTGTCACCGATGGAGTTTTGGTTCCGTGCAGCTGTCGCCTCTGGCTTGCTTAATTTCCACGCCACACTTAATTTCCAGTGATATCGTCGACTTGATTGCACAGAGACTATTTAAACTGAACTGAGCTGGACGATGACATCACTGAATTCAATGATGAACTGCTGAACTGATGAATTTTTTTAAACCTTAAATGTAACTTAATTAGCTATGGAAACAGTAAGTGAACGTTTCATGTCTTTTCATAATGCTGTGAATAACAAATGACACAATGAATTGGAATATTTCAGAATGCACCATAATTGGTCTTTCCCATTTCGGAAAGTTAGCTTGGAAGCCATTTCGGAATGGTTGCAGGGGAAAATGCAGAAACCATTATTCCACTTGTGTGTTAAAATACAGTTTTATAGCATGTGATGTTATTTAGAAGATGATTATGTTTGTTTTTATGTGCATCGTTAACTCAGTATTTATATTTGTGGGTTATTGGTCATACAACGTTCACATGCCCACACAAGGCCTAGGCAGATGGGGGCGTGGGGTTCAATACTGCTTGAATCCAATGCTGACTTAAGTCTTCTGCGACCCAAAGCACCTCGTGCATCCTGGGTAATTAAGTTGCAGCTATGAAGAGAGTGCAAGAGCTTTCTGAGGATCAATTTTCATTATACTATCTTCTCACCCCCCCAATGCAAGAGGCAGAGCCTCAATAACACTCAACCGCTGAATATATAGTTGCATTAATGTGTGTGAATGGTGATACTGGTGCAGGTTTAATTTGGCTTTATAGTGTCACTAATGTTATTTTTTTCTGTCTAACAAATGCTTTTTTCTCTCTTATTGTAGATGTGGACCTGTCGATATGCAAGCACGCTGGGCCATCATGTTGTACGCGAAGAATGGAAGAAAGCTACAGAGCAGCAGTCCTGAGAGACACCACCCAGAACATCAGATCATACAGCTTTGAGCTGAAATATCTAATTTCTGCACATGCCGCTGCCTTTCAGGGTACACAGATGCATGCATGGATGGGAGATTAGATAAATGGTAGAGGGATGAATGGATAAGTGAAATGAATGGATGGATAGATAGAGTAATGGACTGATGGATCTAGGGATGAGTTTATATGGGTAAAGCAACATAAGCTCATTGGAAAGACTGCCTCCGCCTACATTTTTGCAGAAGTGTTCCTATACATACAATTCACTACAGTTTACAGCTGAAATGGACCACTAGTATCAGTAAAACTCCAGCTAATTTGGTTTGTTTTCACACAAATTCTGATTAAGGAGCCGGTTATTTGTTAATAAAGACTTATTTTCACATGGTTCCTTGCACAATACTATGCTATGACCTATTAAAGTGATTTGTAAACTAACATATTTTGACATTTGCTTTGGCTTTTTTCTAATGTTGTAAACTTGCTCGGGAGCTCACCTGGTACAGCACTGCACTTGCAGTGCAGAGTGCTCTAGTTCAAGTCCCATAAAACACTAGTCATTATAAAAGAGCGCAGAAAACTTGGAAAAAAAGATAAAAAGTATGATCACTTCAGTATATGCATTTGCTTTTGTTAACACTATTGGTTAGGGTTAGAGTAGATGGTAATAAAGCTATATTCTCCAAAGATGGATGGAGAGATGGCAAATTTGCGGGTTGCTATTTCTGTGTACCTGTCTTTGTTGCCCGTAGTTTGACTTGTTTAATTGGTAAAAATGGCATAATGGTTTTTTTTCCCCATTGTGGTTTGGCACTGTGATTGGTAGAGCTGCTTTAGAGCTTCATCTTTGGCGCTGATTGCAAGTGAACAGGAAGCCTCTTCTCATCGTCTTGATTAAAGCCCCAGATGTGTTTTTTTAGGAAAGTATGAACTAGCTGCTAACATTCAAAAGCATTCAGTCTTAATTATATTATATTATGCTCTATGAAGTCTAGTTATATGAGGTTTGGTTGGATTTTACTGCATTAATTCTTTAGAAGGGGAATTTAGAGTACTTGCCCACACTCTCACGAGTGTCGAACCCAGTGGCCAAACCATAGTCGGCAGTGGACCTTCAAAGAATCTCAGTCGTATGCAGCCTTGTGTGTGTTTTGGAAGAGAGCACCGGTTGTTTTTAAGGTCTTCTGTCAGTTCATTCATGAGTATCAAGCCTTGGTGTGAATGAATGAGCCCTCACATACACTATTTCAGTCCTGTGCTCACGGTACGCTCATTTTAACACGATCTGCGGACACAGAAATGGCCACATACTCCCACACGTACTGCATCTTACAAGGGGGGTTCAAACCACATACATAGTTTTCGGTTATACTCTTCAATCATGCCTTTGTCTTTCCAAGCTCGTTTTCTTTTGGCATCCACAAGACAGCACAGCTTGTTCATTGCATTCCAGTAAAGTGTTTCTAATGTTTATGTCTTGGATGCAGAGATATGCGCAGAATGTTTAGCCGTCGACAGGTCACATGCAGTAATCAGGAATGTTCAAACAATAGAGCTGATTGCCTTTTACGGATGCTGATGTGTGTGTGGTGTCTGTGTTTGAAAGAGTGGTGAAATCTATAGTCTTTGTGGTGAGTTCTCAACCATTGTTCTTGAGGTTAGTGAGGATGGTTGTTTGTGCCTAATATATAGTAAATATCAGTACATAGATATTTAGGACTTTTCAGGTACTCTATGGAGGATTTGTTGTTTAATTTTTGGTTCGAAATAACTCATCAGTGTTCTTTCCTTCTCCTTATATGTGGTTTTAAAGGTGTCAGGTTTAATATGGTGGGAAATCCATACGTTCCATATGGACAGGGACTTTAAATTGGACTCAGATCTCTGTAATATAAAATAGCTAAACTATTTGAGAGAAGATCTATATTAGGGATGGAATGATTACCGGTTTCGCGATAAATCACGATAAAATGCCCTGACAGTTAGTATTATCGTTTAAAATTTAATTATCATTAAAACTGTATTTGATTATTGCGATTTTGAAAACTCACGGTAAATCCTGTCCAGCCAGCATCAGTCTGACGCAGAAGCAGCATGCAATGTTGTTGTTGTTGTTGTTTTTTGCACGAGACGTAATGGCGGAAGGCAGTGACAGCGCTCGGGAGATTTTTCAGCCATCTAAGAGGACCAAATCAGTGGTCTGGTCGTATTTTGGCTTTTACAAGAGTCCTGAAGGCAATTTAATCGAGGACGGTCACACTGTCTGCTGATCTTGCAAGAAGAAAGTCGCTGCAAAAGGGGGAAACGCATCAAATTTGCTCCGTCATCTTCGTGACCACCACCCACTGTTATATAGCAAATGCAAGGTAACTTTTACCTCAATACCAAAAGTAACTGGGCAAAAAATATTGATTAGAGATGAAATATTTAGTTATCTCACTTGTAATTTACGCAAAGCTTCCGCAAAGAAAAGTTCTCAGCAAGTGGCTTTGAGCCAAGACGAACGAACGTTCAAACTATAAGGTTGACATTTAAGGGATAATGTATGTATATTCATAGTTAACTTATTACACAGAATTTTTTTTGTTTACCTATAATAATATATAAATACGGGGATATGAAATATTGAATTGAGATTAATGTTTTGAAATCTTAGTTGTTTATAAATCCATTATGAACAGTGTACAAAACAATCGTCAGGACAATATGATCACTATAGCAAAATTATAGTAGTATTAATACTAAATTCCTCTGATTTCATTTTCAATCAAAAACTGAGACGCAAGACGGCAAGCTGCATTTGAATGAAACGAGAGAGCCGCGTCTGCGCCTCTGCAGTGATACAAGAGACATGGGGCGAATTCCAAACAGAAGTGAGCATCCCTATGCCCTACTCCCTTCGAAGGGCAGAGCCCTTGAAGTGTGTTCTTTGAAGGGTGCAGGGCATTACTGTCTCGTATAAGCGTTTGGAACTCCCTTGGCGAAGGGAATGATTGACCAAATGCTACCTTGACAATGCTGCGCGTCCGTGCAGCATTCAGTACTCCATCAGTTGTTGCAAATAAACATTTATTATTATTTTTATTTTATTCAAATATTGTCTAATTGTGTCTAATATAAAAAAATATAGTATTTACTATACGTTTTCAAACGTTTTCAAACTAAACTTGCTTACACTACCATCTTAAATCATATTTCTATCACTGACGAAAAATATGGTGTCTTACATTAAAATAGACAAATTTAATTAGCCTATTCTATTTATGTTTGTATGTGAACTCGAAATCAACCCCAACTTTGCTTCCCATCACAAGATCTCCTAACCGAAGATCACATGATCACAAACGGATATCACATTGTATATATATATATATATATATATATATATATATATATATATATATATATATATATATATATATATATATATATATGTGTGTGATTTATTATTATTGTTAGGGCTTCATGTTAATGTTAATTTAATGTTTATGCTAAAAAAAAGTGCATATAGCTGCTAATTGTATTTGTTGTTTGTTGATTTTCAAATATAAAACTTATTGAAATGTTTTCAGTGTGAATCAGTTCTTTTTGAACATTTTCATCTAATTTGAACAAAACCGTGATCCTATTGATAACCGTGATAACTTTGGTCACTATAATCGTGATATGAAATTTTCATACCGGTACATCCCTAATCTATATATATATTAGGGCTGCATGCGATATTTAATGCGGATCTTATCAGTAAAGCCGTTCTGTAATCAGCGGTAAATCTCCATCACGTGAACTCTTGCAAGTGAAGAAATGTAGGCATAAGTACTCTACTATAGCATAAAGTAAATTAACACTTATTTAAATAGTAAATAATTATTATACTTAATTATAAAAAATATATATATATATTTTTTTTTTTATTATAATAGTAATATATTTGTGTCTTAGAGGTAATAATAATAAACATAAAAAATATATAATAAACTATTTTAAAAAGTTCTATACACACACACACACATACATACTAAATATTTTATATATATATACAGTGGGTACGGAAAGTATTCAGACCCCCTTAAATTTTTCACTCTTTGTTATATTGCAGCCATTTG